AATAGAAAAGAGCATAGAAAAACATTCTTCAAAGGTTTCCTTTTCGTGTTCTGCAGAAGAAAGTTATATAGTTGTAGAATGACATGAAGGTGAGTAAGTGATGACAGCTGTCATTTTTGGATGAACTATTCCTTGAACTGTCTGAGACCTTGTTGACTTTGGCATTAGAAAGGTTCAGCTGGTCTGTCGCATCACCTTTCTGCCACCCATTCAGTCTCCATGATATCTGAAGGCTCTGGTCAATCACACAATAAGTACACGGGATTACCGTGGATCTTTCCTGCAGCCCACGGTGGCGTGCGGCACACCAGAGAGGATATCCTCCTCTGTACAGCACTGCCCAGCCATTCACTCCCTCAATGCTCTTGCACTGCATCAGCGATGGCTTTCTTAAAAGAGAGAGCTTATTCAGCTGCATTATGCATTGAGATCGCTTTAAGAGAGAGAAGCAGAGATAAGCGGCTCAGGTTTGTCTGAATTAAAAGAGCCATTGGGCTGGTTGAAATAAGGAACTTGTTGCTTTGGAGTGTAAAGGGAGTGTGAAGTAACTAAAAAGTGTGTAAAGGACGTGTTGTGAAGAATCTCTAGGCCATATCATATACTTTAGCAGCATTTTCTTTTCTCTGAAGTCCACTTATCATGTTAAAGGTTTCTTGCAGCAGAAACAGTAATCTTTTAGTTTTTCATGACCATTTGTCTCCCTCTTTGTGACCTTTAGAATTAATAAACACTACATATTTTAGCTACTGTTCCATTAGTATTGCTACAGTACATAAATGCCCTTTTTGAATGTGAAATGAGTAACTGCAATTACAAGTTGTAGGTTTGCTGTGTATTGTAATATATTTGATGGAAACAAAATCTTGTTTACACTACCAATCAAAAATGTATGGTTGGTAAGATTTTTAATGGTGTTTCTAAAAGAAGTCTCTTATGCGCACCAAGCCTGCATTTATTCAAAACTACAGTAAAAACAGTAATACCGTGAAATATTATTGCAATTTAGACCTTTTTCTATTTGATTTTTTTTTATGCAATTTATTCTGTGAAGGCAAAGCCGATTTTTTTTTATTTTCTTCAGTGTCACATGCTCTTTCTGAAATCATTCTAATATACTGATTTGTTGATCAAGAAGCATGATACATTTTTAAAGAATGAAAAAAGTACAGCATTTGTTTGAAATATAATAATGCAAAATCATTACTGTCTCTTTTGTCAATTTAATTGGTCCTTGCTGAATAATAGTATTAATTTCTTTAAAAAAAATAAATAAAAAAATCTGACTGAACCCAAACAAAACAATACATGCAGAAATATGAAAAAAATGTAGATTACATTTTTAGTAAACATTGTTTTAAATGAGAGAATCTGCCAAATCAAATATCTGTTTGATAACTGTTTATAATTTAATCTAATTTTAAATCAACATTTACTTTATTCTAATTTATTTAATTTTTATTTTAGTGTTATTTATTTATTCATTTATTTTCCATTTTCAGGAGGATAGTGATGATGTTTAATAGTGATTTCATCCATGTACTTAATTTCAAAGTAGTTTTACCTTGTTACAGCAATTCCTGGTCTTTAATTGCTCATCTCTAAGATTAGGATCCTTCAGAAGAACACGGAGAGCCACAAAAGAACAACATCTAATGGACTTCCCCTCATCTGAATACACTATCAGAAAAATAAATGTGCAAAAAGTTTACCTTTAACTCATATATACTTTTGTACCTACACCCAATGGGTGCCTGTTACTAACTTAAGGTACCCTTTAATGGGTAGATAAGGTACAAATATATTTCTTCTAGATACATTTTTTTTTTCTGACAATGTATCAGCTGGAATGTTTCTTGCGTTTGGGAATAATAGACGAGTTGCTTACCTGCAAATATGTGTTATGTATATACGGGCTGTCAAATGTGTATATGCGCTTCCTGAATGACCCATTTTTTCAGCTTATTTCCATAATGGTCTGGTTGGACTGGGAACAGAGCGTCTACATAATGCATTGAATGATTTTATTTCAAAAGAGCACGTAAAAACTTTGGTCCATGATATGGTGTTTAATTTGGTTGTTTTATGGAGATGGATAGGCTGGGGGTTTTATGGGAATGGTGAAGGGGTTCAAGGTTATTCTGGACGTTTGGGTCTATAGTACACACACACACGCACACATGCACACACTCAAATATATCAGTGTGTCCAGCTGTTATTGACCCTTGTGTTCATGTCCCTGGACCCGTGCCACTTCATGTCATCACTCCTTCTCAATTCCAATTGAATTCTGATGAGAGGGACATAGGGACATGTCAAATCTTGCGTTCTCGATCCCCTCCGTCTCAGGGTTCCCATCTGCTTTGAGCTGATTAGACCTCATTTAGATCACTGTCAAAGCCGTCTCTCCCTCAGAGCTGTCTCCCTCCCTCTGTGCTGATCGTCTCTCTCGGATCTGTCTGTCTCTTGTGTTACAACTGGTCAAAAGAGGATTCCTCATTAAACCCAACGCTAGAGCATCTGCTATAGCTTGCTCTGGGGAATTGGACTCTTGTTGGGACACGGTTTTGTTTTCACCAGTAGCTCAGATCACTAGGAGCTCTGTTTCTTCTACTGTCTGCTCTGATCTTTAGCACAAAAAGCAAACCAAGACCTGCCAGCTCGGGGTTTCTAAAGTAAGTTCAGGAGGGATCTTTAGATTGTCCCTGCCTACTGATTTCAGACACTGACTGAAGCCCGCCATTCCTCGTCTTTGTAAAGGCTGGCTTGATCCTGGGAAAAGATAGGATGCTTTTCGGCATCATCTGTGAGTTCAATTCTGTCCACTGACTGTTAGGCATTCATCTTTTTCTTTTTTTTTGTCCTAGAGTGTCCCACAAATCCATGCAACCTTTAACAGATGGACGAGATCAGCTTTTTTTACTGTGGGATGTTTGCAATGCCGCAACGGATTAAATGAAAATAGGTGGATAATACAGTTTGAGATGGGCCGATATTGTGTCATATTCCTAGCACATCACGTCCTCTCATTTATGACAGCTAGAGACGGAGTCTGGATAAATTTAAGTAGATGTCACAGCTCACCTCCTATTATTTTTAATGCCGTTTTCTACTTTGTGGTTTATTCTAGGAATGCTGATGCAGAATTTTACTATTCAGAAGGGATTATGCCACACTGCCCCTGACACACACACATAACAGCTGCCACAATATGGTTGTACAAACAACCAATGAAAATTATAGATATGTTGTCTCTGAGGGAAATCTCAACGCCAGAGTGTGATTCTATATTTGGTTACACTTGCCATAATAATGAGTAATTCTGACACTCATGAAGTGCTTTCCAAACAGATTTCTAACATGAATTATGGGTTTGATTTATATATTAAATCTACGGATGATGTTAATTTTGCCTCAGTGCAAAATGAGATTCTGAAGTGTTTCCCACAAGGTAATATGTTGTTAAAACAGTGCAACTCCCATAAGGGGGTTCATTGGTGCAACAACTTGTACAATGGGGTCCAAATATCTAAGACCACTTGCGAAAACTACTCTGTTTTGCATTTTTTTGTCATCTAATACAAGCTTTTTCCTTACAGATTATATTACCAGCATAACAATCTGACTTTAACTGGAACATTTGATAAACATCTGCATGAACTCAACAAGAGTAAAAGCTGATGATCATGTTCTCCAGCATGATTTCAAATGTTCCAAAGAGCATCTTGTGCTTCATTGAAAGCAAGAACATCTGGTCTTTTGCATAAAGGAGTTAACTTGGATCATTTCACAAATTTGCTTACATTTGATGAGCAGGTGACTAAAACATATTGTGTGTAAATGTGCAAAAACTGTGTATTATCAGCTATCACATTATTATTGCATAATTCTTATAATTAAATCTAATTAATTCTTATAAATAATTCTCATAATTCTTGGTTTATCCAGAAAGGCAAGGCACATTTGCCTCACTAGAAACAGAAATACAGTAGACTGCATTTTTTTTTGGACTCTGTGTGATTCATATACCTCAGCAACACAGAAACCGCTTGAGGTCTAATCCCTCTCGCATGTCACAAATTCCATAATCTCTGTGAGATTAAATTAACATGTATATAAACACCAGACCCCGGCACTTAGTACATGAATATCTCTATTAATAGTATGACAATGATATGTGAGAAACAAATACTTAACAAGTGCATTATGCGGATTAAATCTCTTGCTCTTTCATAATTCACAACATGCCGAAACTGATCATTGCACTACTGTTTCATCTGGGAACAAACTGTCAGGGAAACACTGCATTTCAGAGCCACTTGAGATATCCAGCGTTGCTAGTAATTTGTCTGTCTTTTCGAGTCCTCAAAAGCACTTGAAGCATGTCCTTGATGTTGCCCAAATGTCTCTTGGTAGCAGCTCTTTTTTTTAAAAACCTGTGATTCACTACTTTGTGGCGGTGAGAAGCGAAGCGCACACCTGCTTTTATATGTAAATGTTGGCTCACACTCATAATTGAGGCTCACACACACTTCAGGTATGAGTGTTTGCACTGGTGGGTTGCAATCAGGACTTCCACTCCAATCTCTGGAAGCATTAAGCCAGTTTTCATCTCGCTCTGAAGAGTCAGGCAGCAAAACAACCTTCCCTCAGCTCAGCCTCCACAGTCAAGCTCTCATGTCTTTCCAAAAAACGAGGGCAAAAACTGTTAGTTCTAAAAGGTGCAGGGATTAATCATGGGCTTGTTTCCTTCCAGAGTCTTAGCACTGAAAGTATTGCAGCTTACAAGGCTATACGATTGGGGATAAGCGCTCATAATTGAAGATGCTGGCAGGTCAGTGATTTAGCTGGAGCTTGAGAGGAACCCAACACTTACACCAAGAGTTATGAGCTCTCTGTTTTTGCTCCACGCTCCCTAACTCTTCGCTACTGCCCTGATAAGAAAGTCCACATCAGCAAAACACACACAGATTCAAGGGATTTGAGCGCAGAAAATGTCCTACCTTAATTGAGTCCTTTTCCACCAGCAGAAATAGATGGATGGAGGCTTGAAATCAGTAAAATCCAAATGCTTCACAAACTCTCTTCCTTCGTCTGTCCTCAACCTCTTTCTCCTCTTCGTTTCACCTTGCCTTCGTTGTTTTAGTTCCTTGTTTTCTCATCTACTCTCTCTCAGGAGTCTACCGTTCTTGTTCATCCTGTACAGTACAGAAGCAGAGACAGATGCGCGTGCCGCTAGTGAGGAACGGAAAAAAGAGAGGTGAGCGAACGCGCGCGCGAGAGAGAGTGCCGAAGTGTATGTCCCTGCGGTTTAGAATGAACAGTGTGTGTGTGTGAGAGAGAGAGAGAGAGAGAGTGACAGTGAGTGAGCTGGTCAGAGAGAAAAAGACTGAGCGGAATGAGGGAACGCTTTGCTGACTGGTTCGCTGGCTCCTGGCACGCGTGATTGGAGAGAGTGCGACCCCTGTCTGGTCTCCGGAGTGAGGGATCTTCATCAGCTAGATTATAGAGATGGAGCCTCCCCTTCATCCCTCGTTGCCTCCCGTCACCCCTCCCTCTCTCCCTCCCGTCAGTTCCGCAGAGTAGCAACGATTGGTGTGGTCATCGCAGGGATATGCTAATCATCCTGTTCTCACGGGAACCGTGTCTCTTCCAAACTAATGCACTTGCAGATGTCCTGTGTTAGTCTGGTTTGTTGGTCTCTCTCTGTGTATTATTTTGTTTTTGTGTGCAGGTAAATAGTGGCCAGCGAGCTTGTGTGGGAATGATTTTGGCTCGAGGCTTTGAACAATGACTTTAAATTCCAGTTCAGTTCCAGAATTTTAATTGATTAAATTGGATGCATTTGAATTTGAACTTGAAGTGAACTGCAAATCAAAAGAAACTCTGCATTTATTTATTTATGTATTTATGTATTTATTTATTTATTTATTTATTTATTTATTTATTTATTTAGAAAAACTGTATTGGACATTACATGTAATTTTACGGTAGTACCGTTTTTGGAAGTGTAAAAGACCGTATAATTTACAGCGAATAACCGTAAATTGACATTCCCAGAATTCCCTGCGTTACATTTCAAATTTGATGTTTTTTTTTGTTGAAATAACTATGTTTCTTCTTAGTTTTTTCTTATCAGTTTTGTATATTAGGGTTGTATGTTAGATCTAATGTTTTTAAATGAATGTTTATTGCATTATTTCAGTTTAATGTGTGTTACCATTATGGTGTTTAGTGTTTGTGTGAATGACACTGTGGACCTTCTATATATGTTATTATTTAAAAGCTGCTTGTGATGGGCTTTGGTTCATCATGTGACTTTCTCATCACCACCTGCATTTGGTGGTTATCAGTGTACTACAAAGGTACAAAACAGATTTTAGTACTTCAATAGGTTGGTATATTAACATTATATCAGTTAATGAAATTACGGTATTTAACTGTAAATTTTAGTTAAAACCGTAAAACCTAAAACGTCGCAACCGTATTTTTTACGGTAAAATTCCAGCAACCACAGCTGCCGGTTTTTTACCATCCATTTTTTTTTACAGTGTAGTTGGCATGATGGCTGAATGTATGAAGTTAGGCTGGAGTCTTTTACACTCAGCTCCAACTCCTACTCTCATAAAGTGACAGGCAAATATAGATGGTGATATGTAACCTTTAAAGATTGTTTAAGAAAATAAGTTTTGTCATGAAGAGGAGCTGTGTTCCTTGACGGCCATCACTCATACGAAAGGTTAACTTCTCCGTTCACATTTCTCCTGCATCACAAATAACCAGACCTATGATTCTTGAATGCAACACAGAATAATACCTACAAGGTTATTTTTGGAGCTGAAGTAAACCAACTTTTAACATTTTCACAGTCAGAAAGAAAATAAGCGAATATCTGTAAACTTCTCTTTGAATTTAAGATGCTTGTTTGTTTTGTTTTTTTCAGCATGTCTGACAAGATGTCTTATTCTTCCTTTCATAACCTTGTTCAGTTTTTGTGCAGAAAAAAAGCAATGATATCATAGATGCCTGAAGTTTTCAATGGGTTGTCCTTCAGGATGGCATAGAGGGATGATAGAACATGGTTTTTATCACTGTCCATCACTGTCCTCCACCATATTCATCTTTCAGGACTGCCACATATATTTACTCTTTGAATGTTAAAAACTCATGTAATGTCTAAAACTGATGCATTTTACAGTATATTAATGAGGAAAAACTTTTTTTTTTCTTTTTTTTTCATTGTATTAGCTTGTCACAGGCAAATTGAAGTTCGGTTTGTAGCCTTTTCTGTTCCAGTTTTTTTTTTTTCTATGCATATCTAAATCCTTTCTCCTTTAAATAAAAGTCACAAAAGGCCAGAAACAAACATGCATGCCTTACATGCTTACATGATCTGTTTTACTGTATGGTACTGTAGGTAATGTCAGGGAAACAGACATTTCTAGATCCATGTCGTTGGCATGTATATTTAAATGTTTTCTGATTATGGTAATTTTCTTTACATTGTTTTAGTGCAGTAAATGATTGATAGGTGAGGAGGCAGTCCTTTAATGCTGTATGAGAGCCATCAAAACTCTTTCACATTTACTCTAGAAATGTGATGCGATCACATGCATTTCAAAACCTGCTTAATTAACCAATAATCCAATCTTTGGGAGTTCCAGATCAGGAGAAACTGTCCAAGTGAATCTCAACAGTCAACAGCTTTCTTAATGCTAGCTCTCTTTTATAAGCCGAGACTCTGTTGGTAAGCTCAGAGATTGCTAAAGGCAAACACAAACCACCCCAAATGCAAATTATCAAGAGATCAAGAGAGTTCAGATCACAAAACCCCTTTTCGGACATCTTTTACACCTGCATTTCTTGTGAACACCTGAGAATAATGTTAATGCCAGGTCTAAATGGTGCCTATGTTTTGTTGTAGCACTTTCAGCAATCATTGCGAATGAGCTAATAATAATTACCTCATTACAACTTAATACCTGACAGGGATATTCTACAGAACTTCAAATGAACTTTCTCGGATCTCTTGATAATTTTCATTTTCAAGTGTTTTTATTTGCCTTAAGTGATCTCTGATCTAACCGAGCGAGTCATTGCTGATAATCAGAGCGATAGCGTTAAGGAAGCAGTTGTTCGTAGTGATTAATTGGGACAGCTCCCTCTCTGCTGGAACAGGGAGTGATCAGAGATTAATTAAGCAGGTGTACAGCTGTGACAGAGCAGTGTCCAAACATATGGACATGAATAGAGCGAGAAGGAGACAGGCACACGGGGACAGCCGGGCTAAACGATCCCGCGTAGTGCCTTCCCATCTCCCTGAATGATTAAATCCCCCGACTGCTTAGTTCAGATGTGTGGGGAGCTACATTCAGTATGCTTTCATTGAATTGTAACATTATTGGACAGGAGTGTTGGATTGGAGGACGCACACACATACCGTCAACGTCCTAACAGCTCCAGACGTGCCCCATCCCCACTCAGGGTCACCTCCCATCCAGATGGTGTGTAACCCTCAGTGGGGCATGAAGATAATCCTCTCAGAAAACACACACACATACACAAATATAAAACACATGCTGAGGAGGGAGAAGGTAAAGATGAACGGTCAACCCTTTGCTTAAGTGTACTTGTGCTTTTGGTTGTAGACCATTGCTATGCTGACCATAGGGATTTCCACATATCTGCTCTTTTATCTGTGCTTGTGTGGCTGAACGAAGCTCTACATAGTCCCTTGGGTGCCCTACGAGAGGTTTTACATCTAAGCTTGTCTTTCAACCAGTCTGTCTTTGTGTCTGTCTCAGTCAACATTTTTAGATTTCTAGACCTGTTGAGTTCAGAGGGTCCTGCGAGTTTTTCACATATCTGATGCTGTCTGACAGAAAACTGCACGAGGGTATCATGCCCACCACTGAAATCGCTCTGTGAACATGAAATTATCTGTAAATTTCTGTTTGCAGAGAACGAGCAAGTTGAGGCACTGGATTTCCTAGACAATGTGGAGATAAATCAAATTATCAGGGTTAAAACTTAAGTGGATGGAGGCCAATTCACCCAATGCACAGTAATTCAGCATGGTATTTTTCACTAATCACTCACAATCCAATTTAATCAGGCCTTAAATGTGCTTATACAGCATTGTGAGTATTTCAAATTAAGTAATTGTCTTTGTTTGCATTGCACGTGGCCTTTCAACCAATCTGTCCTTGTGTCTGTCTCAATCAACAGTTCCTCAGTAGAGTTCAGAGAATCCTGTGAGTTCCTTTCTCTCAAATATCTGATGCTGTCTGACAGAAAACTGCACAAGGGTAGCATGACCACCACTGAAATTGCTTGGTGGACACAAAACTGCAAAGCAAGGCATTGCAGTTCCTAGACAATGTGGAGATAAATCAAGTGATCAGGGTTGAAAATCAAGTGGCTGGCTGCAAATTCACACAATGCACAGTAATGCAGCACATTATTATTCACTAATCACCCACAATCTAGTTTAGTCAGGCTTTAAATGTGCTTAAATAGCACAGTGGGTATTTAAAATTAAGTCATTGTCTTTGTTTGCATTGCATACACTTAAAAATAAAGATCACAGTGTTGCAGCGATGCCATAGAAACATTTTTGAACCCCCAAAGAACCTTTCAGTAAACACTTCTTAAAATATATTTTTTTTAGCACAAAGAACATTTAAAAAACAAAAAAAAACAAAAAAAAAACTAAATAACCTTTTGTGGAATGGAAAGGTTTCATGGATGTTAAAGGTTTTTCATGGAACCATAGATGCAAGTAAATAATCAATATGTCTTTATGTCTGTCTCACTCAAGAGTTTCTAGATTTCTGGAGCTCTTTAGTTCGGAGAGTCCACTTACCTTTAAAGTACTATTGTGCACCTTTTAGCGGTAAATAAGGTGCAAAGGTGTACCTTTTGTAAGGGTATTGTTACAGTGACAGCTTTTGTACCTTATTTTCTGAGAGTATGTGCAAGTTGCTCAAATATTTGATCTGTCTGACAGAAAACTGCACGAGGGTTTCATGCCCACCACTGAAATTGTTCTGTACATATGAAATTGCATGCAAATTTCTGTTTAGAGAGAAAATGAGCAACGCAAGGCATTAGAATTCCTACACAATGTGGAGATAAATCAAGTGATTAGGGTCGAGAATCAAGTGGTTGGAGGATGATTCAATTAGAAATGAACAAAGGTAATTAATTCAATGATGTCTAAAACACTGAATGTATGTAGAGTAGTCTTGAGTGATGTCAGAGTCAGGGGGCGAATTTACACAATGCACAGTAATTCAGCATAGTCTTATTCACTAATTGGCCAATGTCTTTGTGTCTGTCTCACTCAACAGTTTCTAGACCTGTTGAATTTACAGAGTCCTGTGCATTCTTTTCCCTCAAATATCTGAGCAATCCGACAGAAAACTGCACAAGGGTATCGT